ACTTCAGTGTAATCATGCAACCTAATAGGGATTTTTCCATGTAAACCAGTATAATGCAACTTAATAGGGATTTTTCCATGTAAACCAGTATAATGCAACTTAATAGGGTTTTTTCATGTAAACCAGTATAATGCAACTTAATAGGGTTTTTTTTCATGTAAACCAGTATAATGCAACTTAATGGGGATTTTTCCATGTAAACCAGTATAATGCAACTTAATAGGGGTTTTTACATGTAAACCAGTATAATGCAACTTAATAGGGTTTTTTCCATGTAAACCAGTATAATGCAACTTAATAGGGTTTTTTCCATGTAAACCAGTATAATGCAACTTAATAGGGTTTTTTTCCATGTAAACCAGTACAATGCAACTTAATAGGGATTTTTCCATGTAAACCAGTATAATGCAACTTAATAGGGTTTTTTACATGTAAACCAGTATAATGCAACTTAATGGGGATTTTTCCATGTAAACCAGTATTATGCAACTTAATAGGGATTTTTCCATGTAAACCAGTATAATGCAACTTAATAGGGATTTTTCCTTGTAAACCAGTATAATGCAACTTAATAGGGTTTTTTTTTCATGTAAACCAGTATAATGCAACTTAATGGGGATTTTTCCATGTAAACCAGTATTATGCAACTTAATAGGGATTTTTCCATGTAAACCAGTATAATGCAACTTAATAGGGTTTTTACATGTAAACCAGTATAATGGAACTTAATAGGGGTTTTTACATGTAAACCAGTATAATGGAACTTAATAGGGGTTTTTACATGTAAACCAGTATAATGCAACTTAATAAGGATTTTTACATGTAAACCACTATAATGTAACCTAATAGGGGTTTTTACATGTAAACCAGTATAAAGCAACTTAATAGGGATTTGTACATGTAAACCAGTATAATGCAACCTAATAGGGATTTTTCCATGTAAACCAGTATAATGCAACTTAATAGAGATTTTTCCATGTAAACCAGTATAATGCAACTTAATAGGGATTTTTCCATGTAAACCAGTATAATGCAACCTAATAGGGATTTTTCCATGTAAACCAGTATAATGCAACCTAATAGGGATTTTTCCATGTAAACCAGTATAATGCAACCTAATAGGTTGCATTATACCACCAGACCAAGACCCAAACGAAGACTCAGACCACCACCAGATAATGACCACAGACCAGGTTTCCTTAGTTACAGGAACCAAATTGTTTCAGCGGTGAGGGGATTTTTCAGTTTCAAGGACACTTTCAATACATTCAGTAGTTTCAAGGATTTCAACTGTTTAAGAATTTAACCAGTTTCAAGGATATCAGGAGGTTCAAGGATTTCAGGAGTTTCCACACTTTCAACAGTTTCCAGGTTTAAAAAAAGTTTCAAGGATTTCAGGAGTTTCAATGTTTCAACAGTTTCAAGGATTTCAGGAGTTTAAAGGTTTCAACAATTTCAAGGACTTCAGGAGTTTCAAATATCTATCAAGTATTTTAACAGTTTCAAGGCCTTTTAAAGGATTTCAAGGATTTTTTTTAGCAGATTTCCACATTAGATCTGTTCCGCAGTCAATCGCAATGGCTTCAGCCATTGCAAGTTTCTAGTTATTATTATTTTGTTGTTTGTTCTTCTACACCGGACAATTAGCCATGCTATGACATTGAATGTTTCGACTGTATACAGAAGCGTCTGAGGAAGACGAGATTAACCTTCCTCCTCTATCAGCTGTTTGTCCCTTAGAGCTGTTGACTGAGCTCACATTCCTGCTTCAGTGTGTTTATGTGAACAGCAGACAGAGGTGTTTTCATGTTTGAGCTGATGTCCAGTCAGGACCATAGACAGTACACACAGTAGAGGTTCTGCTAGTCTGTCCATTTCGCTGCTGTCAGACTGTATAAAGAACAATGAGGACAAACAAACACCTGACCTCACATGTCGTACATTTGTAACTAATTAGTAACTAATTTTGTAATAACACATTTTAGAACGTGCAATAACCACATGTGTCACTGTGGTTCTACATTACATTTATTACATATTTTTTATTATGCTAAAACTAGAGATTTTATTTTATTTTAGTATAGAGTTATTGTTTGTATATCTTGTGCTGCGTGCTCCTCGTTCCTACTGTTCTGTAACTGGTTATGCAACACTGACATTTCCTCACGGTGGGAAAATGTCCGTGTTGCAGCACATGTACATAGATAAGTGTCTCCAAATCAAATGTATTTATTTATTTTAATACGAACATTTGATCTGAAACACTTAATGAATGTGGTTATATAGATTAAGTTTTGTATAATTAAAGTATATAAATATAAGTATAATGTGAATGTGGGTCTGAGTGAAGCCTGCAGGGACAATATTTAGAAATCCCTGTGTAGCAAACAAAACTGAAGCAAGTGTTCTTTAAAGACTTTATTTATTTGTGTGGCACTGTTAGCACTTGTGCTTCGCAGCGAGAAGGTCCTGGGTTTGATTCCACCTCCAGACAAGGCTCTCTGTGTGCAGTTTGCATGTTCTCCCCGTGTCTGTGTAGGTTTCCCCGACCACTAAAAACATGTACAATAGTTCTGTTGGTGGTGGTCGGAGGTTTGGCTCATTCCAAAGTGCTGTGTGTGAGCTTGGTCTGCGCTATATAAATAAAGTGAGTAGGGCTGGGCGATTAATCGATTTTAATCATTAATTCGAGTTTTACGTTTAGGGCGATTTCTTTTCTTAAAAATTCGATTTTTATTTTCTCCATCGCAGAACTACAGCGCTAACGCGCTAACCGCGGGTCTATGGTGTTGAGCAGTCATTTTGAAGCTAACCTAATGCTAACAGTCTCCCTCTGGCCTGATGCTCGCTCTCACAGTTGGTGCTGTTGCAATAACACTTCAAACATTCAAGAATCAGACTTTATTTAATCGCCAGAACACACACACACACGCACGCAAGCCCCGGTCGCTATGTTCGTACGCCACATCTTTCACGCTCTCTCACGCTCGTTATTCCAAAGCGTGAAAGCGCACTCCCGTGTCCGTGGCGCGCACACACTCGTGTCCCACTGAGCCGCTGCACTTTGGGGAAAGACACGTCTCACACATTGCTCTCATTGCTCTGATACAAACAACGTGTTCCCCGCTGTCTGTTAGCTACAGTAGCTGCTACAGTAGCTGCTACAGTAGCTGCTAGCTACAGTAGCTGCTACAGTAGCTGTTAGCTACAGTAGCTGCTACAGTAGCTGTTAGCTACAGTAGCTGCTACAGTAGCTGTTAGCTACAGTAGCTGCTACAGTAGCTGTTAGCTACAGTAGCTGCTACAGTAGCTGTTAGCTACAGTAGCTGCTACAGTAGCTGTTAGCTACAGTAGCTGCTACAGTAGCTGTTAGCTACAGTAGCTGCTACAGTAGCTGTTAGCTACAGCATCAGAATGTAAACAGGAAGCTCGCACAATGCGGGAGTCACTGAAGTTAGTATTAGCGCCACCAGCTGGACCGAGCGTTGTACTACAGCACAGTTACTCAGGCACAGTTGAAAGAACAAGCATGAAAACCCGAGGAGGCTTTTGGAAAAGACTGTCTGTTACAACATTTCTATTTTGAGTAATCAGTTTTAAAAATGTGATATTTCATGTAAATAATGCATGTGTTTAATAGGATTGATATATTTGCGATGGGCCTTGTTTGTGTGATTTAAGTTATTTTGAAGGTGCATAGTGTCATTGTAAGTGAAGTTATTATAAAACTGTTAAGCTACATTTTCACTGTTTACAATGGCAGAGCCATCTCGTTTACAAGCATGTTTTAAGGCTTAATTCCTGTTACACTTATGCTCCATGGGGATTTAGATTAAACTGCATAAAGGAAAATCTATTTCTTTGTCAGTTGTAGTTTGTTTTTAAATAGAAAAAAATAAATCGATTTAAAATCGAAAATCGGATTTGGTGTGAAAAAATCGGAGATTTTTTTTTTTTGATATATCGCCCAGCCCTAAAAGTGAGTTACTTAAAGTTACATTTGGATGCAGTCCATGAGTTAATGTATTTGTCAAATGTGAGGACGAGTCTCCCTCATTAGCACTTTTCCCTCTGGCAAAGCTGTTTCAGACATAAAGAGGTCAATACAAAAATCAATTCTCTCTAAATCGGGCAGATGAAGTAGAAAGGACAAAAGCAGGCTTTAAAATGCAGACCAGGCTTTGGTTTGAGTCCAGTTTGTCCTGGTTTGTCCTGGTTTGTCGTGGTTTGACCTGGTTTGTCCTGGTTTGGGCAGAGCTGATGTATGGAAGAGGATTACAGAGGTAACTTTGGGGTTTAGTTGCACAGTATTGCACAATATGTGATAGACAGATAAGACTTCTAACTACAAGCAATACATCATTCTTTCATACCTCTGTCATCTCTATAATCCCACACCTCTGTAATATATATAACCTCATACCTCTAATCTCTATAATCCCACCCCTCTGTAATATCTATAACCTCATACCTCTAATATATATATCCTCATACCTCTGTAATCTCTATAATCCCACACCTCTGTAATCTCTATAATCCCACACCTCTGTAATATCTATAACCTCATACCTCTGTAATCTCTATAATCCCACACCTCTGTAATCTCTATAATCTCACACCTCTGTAATATCTATAACCTCATACCTCTGTAATCTCTATAATCCCACACCTCTGTAATCTCTATAATCCCACACCTCTGTGTAAAATCTATAATCTCATACCTCTGGTCATTTATGAATAATCTGCTTTGTTATTTTTCTATTGTGTGTAATTTTTAACTAACTAGATTATCAATTTAGCTCTGTTGTTGACGATATAAAGCAATGACAGTGAAACAAGAGGTTTAGTTTGTAAATGTTTCCTATGAATATGTTTGACAGGGCCGGTCTGCCTCAAGGCAGCTGTGACTACAGTAAATGAATAATCCCATGTGACTTGTCTTTGAATGTCTGCTTAAAACCAATGCTGCAAAAACCACCATCATTATGGCGCAAAGGAGATCAAAACACACTCCCTTTCTCACTGTTGTCCCACACCTCCTCCCTGAACCTTTGTCTCCTCCTCCCTGACCCTCTGTCTCCTCCTCTCTGACCCTCTGTCTCCTCCGCCCTGACCCTCTGTCTCCTCCTCCCTGACCCTCTGTCTCCTCCTCTCTGTCTGCTCCTCTGATCCTCTGTCTCCTCCTCTCTAACCCTCTCTCCTCTTCTCTCTGTCTCCTCCTCCCTGACCCTCTGTCTCCTCCTCTCTGTCTGCTCCTCTGACCCTCTGTCTCCTCCTCTCTGACCCTCTGTCTCCTCCTCCCTGACTCTGTCCCCTCCTGCCTGACCCTCTGTCTCCTCCTCTCTGACCCGCTGTCTCCTCCTCTCTGATCCTCTGTCTCCTCCTCCCTGACCCTCTGTCTCCTCCTCCCTGACCCTTTGTCTCCTCCTCTCTGTCTCCTCCTCCCTGACCCTCTGTCTCCTCCTCTCTGACCCTCTGTCTCCTCCTCTCTGACCCTCTGTCTCCTCCTCTCTGACCCTCTGTCTCCTCCTCTCTGACCCTCTGTCTCCTCCTCTCTGACCCTCTGTCTCCTCCTCCCTGACCCTCTGTCTCCTCCTCCCTGACCCTCTGTCTCCTCCTCTCTGATCCTGTCTCCTCCTCTCTGACCCTCTGTCTCCTCCTCCCTGACTCTCTGTCTCCTCCTCCCTGATCCTCTGTCTCATACTCTCTGACCCTCTGTCTCCTCCTCTCTGACCCCCTGTCTCCTCCTCTCTGACTCTCTGTCTCCTCCTCTCTGACCCCCTGTCTCCTCCTCTCTGACCCTCTGTCTCCTCCTCTCTGACCCTCTGTCTCCTCCTCCCTGACCCTCTGTCTCCTCCTCCCTGACCCTCTGTCTCCTCCTCCCTGAACCTCTGTCTCCTCCTCTCTGATCCTGTCTCCTCCTCTCTGACCCTCTGTCTCCTCCTCCCTGACTCTCTGTCTCCTCCTCCCTGATCCTCTGTCTCATACTCTCTGACCCTCTGTCTCCTCCTCTCTGACCCTCTGTCTCCTCCTCTCTGACCCTCTGTCTCCTCCTCTCTGACCCTCTGTCTCCTCCTCTCTAACCCTCTCTCCTCCTCTCTAACCCTCTCTCCTCTACTCTCTGTCTCCTCCTCCCTGACCCTTTGTCTCCTCCTCTCTGTCTGCTCCTCTCTGACTCTGTCCCCTCCTGCCTGATCCTCTGTCTCCTCCTCCCTGACCCTCTGTCTCCTCCTCCCTGACCCTCTGTCTCCTCCTCTCTGTCTGCTCCTCTCTGAATCTCTGTCTCCTCCTCCCTGACCCTCTGTCTCCTCCTCCCTGACTCTGTCCCCTCCTGCCTGACCCTCTGTCTCCTCCTCCCTGACTCTGTCCCCTCCTGCCTGACCCTCTGTCTCCTCCTCTCTGACCCTCTGTCTCCTCCTCTCTGACCCTCTGTCTCCTCCTCCCTGACCCTCTGTCTCCTCCTCCCTGACCCTCTGTCTCCTCCTCCCTGACCCTCTGTCTCCTCCTCTCTGATCCTGTCTCCTCCTCTCTGACCCTCTGTCTCCTCCTCCCTGACTCTCTGTCTCCTCCTCCCTGATCCTCTGTCTCATACTCTGTGACCCTCTGTCTCCTCTTCTCTGACCCTCTGTCTCCTCTTCTCTGACCCTCTGTCTCCTCCTCTCTGACCCTCTGTCTCCTCCTCTCTGATCCTCTGTCTCCTCTTCTCTGACCCTCTGTCTCCTCCTCTCTGACCCTCTGTCTCCTCCTCTCTGACCCTCTGTCTCCTCCTCTCTGATCCTCTGTCTCCTCTTCTCTGACCCTCTGTCTCCTCCTCTCTGACCCTCTGTCTCCTCCTCTCTGATCCTCTGTCTCCTCTTCTCTGACCCTCTGTCTCCTCCTCCCTGACTCTCTGTCTCCTCCTCCCTGATCCTCTGTCTCATACTCTCTGACCCTCTGTCTCCTCCTCTCTGACCCTCTGTCTCCTCCTCTCTGATCCTCTGTCTCCTCTTCTCTGACCCTCTGTCTCCTCCTCCCTGACCCTCTGTCTCCTCCTCTCTAACCCTCTGTTCTCCCCGTGTCTGTGTAGGTTTCCTACGGGTGCTCCAGTTTCTCCTACCACTAAAACATGTACAATAAGTCTGCCATGCGCCTCTTATATTGAAAATCTCACTCCTATCTCTGGAGTGAGAGATAAAAGACCAAAAATAACAACTGTAAAGTGCTTTGTGACTCTGGTCTGAGACGGGCGCTATAAACATTACTACTCCCTGACCCTCTCTCTCTCCTCCTCCTCTCTGACCTCTCCCTCTCTCTCTCTCTCCTCAGGTCAGACGTCCTGATCGGGGCCCCCAGGGCCAACACATCGGGCCCCAGTGTGGTGGTGGAGAGAGGGGCCGTGTACAGCTGCCCCTGGAACTCCCCGTCCTGCTCCCAGCTGCTCTTCGACTCCACAGGTCAGAAATATAAATATCTAGATATAACACACACGCACGCTAGGGTTGGGCGATATGGGCCTCAGCATGTATCACGATTTTTGTTGGTATGTATCACGATATGACGATATGATAATTTTAACAAAGCCTCATATAAAAGCTATAAAAAACTTAGCACTGATAATTTTAAACACACTTGCCTCAAAGTGCATTTACTGATTTATTGGCAGCAAAATGTGTAATACAGCTATTGTATATAAAACGTATTAACAAAACTGAATTGTAGAGAATTCTGTTTTGTACATACTGAAAATTGCAGGCAACATGTAATGAAGGTGAACATTTGTAATTTGTAAAATATATAAAAGTTTGTCCTTTGTAATATAAAAAGTGTAGCATTATCAAATAATTATTTGATCACTTTGGCTTATGTTTCCTAATCCCAATATAGTCAAAATGATCAAATACTGTATATATTTTTTGTATCCTTTTGCGTTTCTATAATTATAACTTATTTGTAATTATATTGCAATGTAGACAAACACATGCATTGAAGTAAACTGAATGACAGTAAACAGTAAATAAAGCTTACCAATGGCACGATGAGAGAGAGAGAGAGAGAGAGAGAGAGAGTGTCCGAAGCAAGCCACTCGAGTCCAGTTGTTTAGAGCAGCTGCTTTCACAACATTAGATCCACTGTTGATAGTTACACACAATTGCTTCTTTTTATCTAGTTCCCAAACTACTCCCATATGTTTGAGGTAGCTCTGCGTTTTGGCACAATGTCTTCTAGAATCTGCATGTCTTCACCATGGTCTTCACCGCCGCCCTCACCCATGTTTGCTCTCTGCTCTGTTGTTGTTGTCCCTGCACGCCGCTCTGCTACACGTGTCGCGCAGATGCGTCATCAAAGTGCGCCGCACACAAACGTGTCTTCCGCTCGCTGTTTTCAGTGTTAAATGATCGTTTTCACCGGTATAAGGCATTTTCTTATCATTTAATTTACTTATACCGGTATACCGGTACAACAAAAATATCGCCCAACCCTAACGCACGCACACATGCACATGGAAAGATTAAGATACTGTTCAATCAGAGACGTCACTGCATCGGTCTGACAAGGTCTGACAGGGTCCTACAAGGTCCGACAGGGTCTGGGTCTGACAGAGTCTGGCAGAGTCATCACAGTGAAGTTACATTTATCATTCTCCATAACGAGCTCTAATTAAAGGCATGCAGACCAATGTCATCTGACTAGAGATAATCCCACAACAGAATTGGAGGCACAATTTGTGTCTCTCTGGTCTCTCCCAGAGACCAGAGAGACCTCTAGTATAAAATGATTGTATGTGTATGTATGTATGTAATTTAAACTTTTTTAACAAATAAAAAACTGAAAAGTGGGGCGTGCAATATTATTCGGCCCCTTTACTTTCAGTGCAGCAAACTCACTCCAGAAGTTCAGTGAGGATCTTTGAATGATCCAATGTTGTCCTAAATGACTGATGATGATAAATAGAATGCACCTGTGTGTAATCAAGTCTCCGTATAAATGCACCTGCTCTTTGATAGTCTCAGGGTTCTGTTTAAAGCGCAGAGAGAACCATGAAGACAAAGGAACACACCAGGCAGGTCCGAGATACTGTTGTGGAGAAGTTTAAAGCCGGATTTGGATACAAAAAGATTTCCCAAGCTTTAAACATCTCAAGGAGCACTGTGCAAGCAATTGTATTGAAATGGAAGGAGTATCAGACCACTGCAAATCTACCAAGACCCGGCCGTCCCTCCAAACTTTCATCTCAAACAAGGAGAAGACTGATCAGAGATGCAGCCAAGAGGCCCATGATCACTCTGGATGAACTGCAGATAACTACCGCTGAGGTGGGAGAGTCTGTCCATAGGACAACAATCAGTCGTGCACTGCACAAATCTGGCCTTTATGGAAGAGTGGCCATTTCTCAAAGATATCCATAAAAAGTCTCTTAAAGTTTGCCACAAGCCACATGGGAAACACACCAAACATGTGGAAGAAGGTGCTCTGGTCAGATGAAACCAAAATCGAACTTTTTGGCCACAATGCAAAATGATATGTTTGGCGTAAAAGCAACACAACTCATCACCCTGAACACACCATCCCCACCTCAGCTGTAGTTATCTGCAGGTGCATTTATACGGAGACTTGATTACACACAGGTGCATTCTATTTATCATCATCAGTCATTTAGGACAACATTGGATCATTCAAAGATCCTCACTGAACTTCTGGAGTGAGTTTGCTGCACTGAAAGTAAAGGGGCCGAATAATATTGCACGCCCCACTTTTCAGTTTTTTATTTGTTAAAAAAGTTTAAATAATCCAATACATTTCGTTCCACTTCACGATTGTGTCCCACTTGTTGTTGATTCATGACAAAAAAATTACATTTTTATATCTATGTTTGAAGCCTGAAATGTGGCGAAATGTTGAAAGGTTCAAGGGGGCCAAATACTTTCGCAAGTATATATATGTATATATATGTCATATATTTGTATCTGAGGTGAAGGCTTCATTTGTCGCCTTTTTTTTTACTTGGACCAAAGTGAGACTTGAAACATAAAGGATTTAAAAATCCCATTTCAATCCCATGTTGGTCATAGTGCTGCCATGTTCTGAACCATCAGGGAACGGGGCCGTTGCTGGTTCGTTTTTAAAAAGTGAGTTTGAATCATGTGCACTTCTCACCAACCTCCTATTTGGACCAAACCTGTAATTTATAAAGTGGTGGTTTCTGAAAGTTCAATCATCGAAACTCTGAGACTAGTGCTTAAAGTCCTGATGATCATTGGAATTGAGCTGGTGGGTCCTGGTCCTGGTCTAAGTTCTGGTTCTGGTTCTGGTTCTGGTTCTGGTTCTGGTTCTGGTTCTGGTTCTGGTCCTGTCCTAGTCCTGTCCTGGTTCTGTCCTGGTTCTGTCCTGGTCCTGATCTGGGTCCTGGCCTGGTCTTGGTCCTGGTCTTGGTCCTGGTCTTGGTCCTGGTCTCTGAGGTCTTGTTGGGACAGACAGAGGAATGTGAGTGAGAACAGGACAAGTGCAGACACATACAGACTACAACACAAGGATTAAAGGTGTGGACCTGGATTCTCCAACCATGCATGGTCTCTTTCTGGTCTCTCTCTTTGGTCTCTCACTTTGGTCTCTCACTCTGGTCTCTCTCTCTCTCTGGTTTCTCCCTGATCTCTGTCTCTGGTCTCTCTCTGATCTCTTTCTGGTCTCTTTCTGGTCTCTCTGGTCCCTCTCTGGTCTCTCTCTGGTCTCTCACTGGTCTCTCACTGGTCTCTCACTGGTCTCTCTCTGGTCTCTCCCTGGTATCTCTCTGGTCTCTCTCTGGTCTCTCCCTGGTCTCTCACTGGTCTCTCTCTGGTCTGTCCCTGGTCTCTCTCTCTGGTCTCTCTCTCTGGTCCCTCCCTGGTCTCTCCCTGGTCTCTCCCTGGTCTCTGTCTCTGGTCTCTCTCTGATCTCTTTCTAGTCTCTTTCTGGTCTCTCTGGTCTCTCTGGTCTCTCCCTGGTCTCTCCCTGGTCTCTCCCTGGTCTCTCCCTGGTCTCTCACTGGTCTCTCACTGGTCTCTCTCTCTGGTCTCTCTCTCTGGTCTCTCTGGTCTCTCTCTCTGGTCTCTCTCTGGTCTCTCCCTGGTCTCTCACTGGTCTCTCTCTGGTCTCTCTCTGGTCTCTCTCTGGTCTCTCACTGGTCTCTCTCTGGTCTCTCCCTGGTCTCTCACTGGTCTCTCACTGGTCTCTCTCTGGTCTCTCCCTGGTCTCTCTCGCTGGTCTCTCTCTCTGGTCCCTCCCTGGTCTCTCCCTGGTCTCTCCCTGGTCTCTCTCTGGTCTCTCCCTGGTCTCTCTCTGGTCTCTCTCTGGTCTCTCCCTGGTCTCTCTCTGGTCTCTCCCTGGTCTCTCTCTGGTCTCTCTCTCTGGTCTCTCCCTGGTCTCTCACTGGTCTCTCACTGGTCTCTCTCTGGTCTCTCCCTGGTCTCTCTCTGGTCTCTCTCTCTGGTCTCTCCCTGGTCTCTCACTGGTCTCTCACTGGTCTCTCTCTGGTCTCTCCCTGGTCTCTCTCGCTGGTCTCTCTCTCTGGTCTCTCCCTGGTCTCTCCCTGGTCTCTCCCTGGTCTCTCCCTGGTCTCTCTCTGGTCTCTCCCTGGTCTCTCTCTGGTCTCTCTCTCTGGTCTCTCTCTCTCTGGTCTCTCTCTCTCTGGTCTGGTTGTCTGTGCTTTATATTGAGACCTCTGTATCTGTATGTATCTTTGTGTGGAGGAAGATTATGTGTTGTTGCGGTCTCTGCTTCCTCTCAGACAAACACACATGAGTCACTGTGGTCAGTGTAGACAAAAATACCAAGAAGGACGTCTGATAAGTTCCAGTGTTTAATGTCCTTACTGTACTAATGTACTAATCTAGAGAGGATGTATTCTTCCTCTCCGGCCGAGGACCATCTTTGCCAATAGTCATATTAAAGCTCAGGTACTGAACTTTCAAACCACACAGAATAGAATTATATAATTAAGTCCATGTCACCAATTCCTGGTCTCTTTTCGGTCTCTCTCTGGTCTCTCTCTCTGGTCTCTCTCTCTTGTCTCTCTCTCTGGTCTCTCTATGGTCTCTCTCTGGTCTCTCCCTGGTCTCTCTCTGGTCTCTCCCTGGTCTCCCCCTGGTCTCTCCCTGGTATCTCCCTGGTATCTCCCTGGTCTCTCCCTGGTCTCTCTCTGGTCTCCCTCTGGTTTCTCTGGTCTCCCCTTGGTCTCTGGTCTCTCTTTGGTCTCTGGTCTCTCTATGGTCTCTGGTCTCTCTTTGGTCTCTGGTCTCTCTTTGGTCTCTGCTCTCTCTTTGTTCTCTCTCTCTCTGGTCTCTCTCTGGTCTCTCCCTGGTCTCTCACTGGTCTCTCACTGGTCTCTCTCTGGTCTCTCCCTGGTCTCTCTCTCTGGTCCCTCCCTGGTCTCTCTCTGGTCCCTCCCTGGTCTCTCCCTGGTCTCTCCCTGTTCTCTGTC